GTATTAAAGAGGAATAGTTACGTCATTCTGAAGTTTTGACGACATTGCCAATTAGCAGATCTTGTGTATGTATAAATTCCTAATCATCAAAAACTGACGTATTAATTAAAACATGTAGGCTTCAACCATTATTCTGATGAGGATGCGGACATACATGTTTGAAAGATTTTTTGTTTTTGTTTTTGTTTTGTTTTCTTTCTTTTTATTGTCTTTTTTTTTAAATACGAGAAATGTGCATTGTTGTAAAGACAAGTATATGTTGTTGTATTTCTATATCTTGTGTTGGTTATGTATACTTTATGTGTTGATTATTTGTTTCGGGTATCATAAGAAGAAAAAATAACACTTAGTTACATAAGTCGGTAAAAGTAAGGATAATAATACAAATATCCCTGTTTCTAGTTTCCCGACCGTCCCTTTTTCTGCTACCGACCCATTTTTTTCTTATATTTTGGTAAAAAAAAATCACTCTAAATTCGCCGTGTTGATTAAGTCCCGTTTAGGCCTCACGCGACTAAACCCATCACTATATGTTATTATTTAGCATTGAAGCAACACAAGTGAAAACTGTCTAGATTCAAAGACACATACCTGTCAAAGGCTATACATAGAATAATTTAGTAGACTGAATGGCACTTGGGACTGTCATCGCCTTCAAAATCATCAGCTGAAACTACCCACTTAGGGAAAATCCCCGACATTTTACACCTGTCTAAATCCGCCCCATATAAATTGAAATGTGATGAAACTATATATTTTAATGAAGCCCGATAAATTCAGATTTCTGTCATAAATCATAAATTATATGTTTAAACCCCCAGAGGGCAGTGCCCTGAGGCACATTCCCTTAGACGCTTGGCAGATGTTTATACACAGTCTGATGTCGTGGGTAACATTCTCTCTAAGAAGATGGCTGTCACCAGACTTTTTTTGTGTACAAATGTTTGCATCTCTATATATTATATTTGTGAAGTTTCAACTTATACCAAAACAAATCTTGAGTCTGATTCCATAAATACTTAATGTTGCGATCCAGATAAAAAAAGTAAAAGACCAAAACGAAATATGGCATTTGTTAATTTGTTAATTGTTAAATAAATGTCTGTTTAGTCTGTCAAATTGCCCTTGTCCAGTAGAAACTAGTCACATCATAGTAACAGGAAAGAATCTAGATGTTCCAACAGATTGTGATATTCAGCATGAAAAAAACAAGTAACACTTATACATACCTGACACATATAGAAACCGTTTCATAATTACGCTGTGGTTTTGGAGAGCGTCAGAGGCATGTAAATATTATTTTGAAAAAAAATCTACTTACCTAGCGACATATTTTTTTCCAGCAGAAACAGGAAGCACATATATTTGTATTGTTCATCTCGACAACGTTGTGTTTTTCTCTTCCTATTTTCTTAAATAGCTCTTGGATTTGTACATCAGCGTTGGCGTTATTAGTTAAAGGGAACTTCGTTTTCTACAATGGGCAAACAGCAGTATTCTGACTGTGATGATATGATTGTGCGGAGAGTAGAACAGTCTATAATGCTAAGCGAGTACATGTGTTAGGGATTTCAGATTCGTCTAAAAAGATTCTTCATGATCAAATTCCGCTAAAGCTGCTTTTGGTTATACCATTATGTAACTTAACGAGGAGATGATTTTCCACTTTCTGTCACTGTGGTAACGTCTCCTAAAGTCAAATATACTGAACTGATATAGAATGACCGATTATAACACAACGCACAAAAATCCGTAGCGCCATTTTATATACAATATGAAACTCTATGAAAAAACTACAATTGATAACAGGGTACCTTAAGCATGGATTAAAGAAAAGGTTTTTTTTCAAGAGAGTAAATGTTCCTTGTTTTTTTGAGAGCATGTGCATATTTAATCTAGCTTATACTAATGTCAATGTTTAGAGTGAAAACGTGTCACTAAAATGCTATTTTTTATCATATAATGATCAATCACGCAATTCTTGTCTTTACATTAGGAATGACGATACTGAAGTACTGTGTGTTGGTGTAGGTGCTTTACATTAGGAATTACGATACTGAGGTACTGTGTGTTGGTGTAGGTGCGTTACAGGAATTACGATACTGAGGTACTGTGTGTTGGTGTAGGTGCTTTACAGGAATTACGATACTGAGGTACTGTGTGTTGGTGTAGGTGCTTTACAGGAATTATGATACTGCGGTACTGTGTGTTGGTGTAGGTGCTTTACAGGAATTATGATACTGCGGTACTGTGTGTTGGTGTAGGTGCTTTACAGGAATTACGATACTGAGGTACTGTGTGTTGGTGTAGGTGCTTTACAGGAATTACGATACAGAGGTACTGTGTGTTGGTGTAGGTGCTTTACAGGAATTATGATACTGAGGTACTGTGTGTTGGTGTAGGTGTTTTACAGGAATTACGATACAGAGGTACTGTGTGTTGGTGTAGGTGCTTTACAGGAATTATGATACTGAGGTACTGTGTGTTGGTGTAGGTGCTTTACAGGAATTACGATACTGAGGTACTGTGTGTTGGTGTAGGTGCTTTACAAGAATTGCGATACTGAGGTACTGTGTGTTGTTTAAGGTTTACATTAGGAATTATGATACTGAGGTACTGTGTGTTGGTGTAGGTGCTTTACAGGAATTACGGTACTGAGGTACTGTGTGTTGGTGTAGGGGCTTTACAGGAATTACGGTACTGCGGTACTGTGTGTTGTTTAAGGTTTACATTAGGAATTATGATACTGAGGTACTGTGTGTTGGTGTAGGTGCTTTACAGGAATTACGGTACTGAGGTACTGTGTGTTGGTGTAGGGGCTTTACATCAGGAATTACGATACTGAGGTACTGTGTGTTGGTGTAGGTTTACATTAGGAATTACGATACTGAGGTACTATGTGTTGTTGTAGGTTTACATTAGGAATAACGATACTGAGGTACTGTGTGTTGTTGTAGGTTTGCATTAGGAATTACGATACTGAGGTACTATGTGTTGTTGTAGGTTTACATTAGGAATTACGATACTGAGGTACTGTGTGTTGGTGTAGAGAATTACACGTATACACGTGTATTAAAAATAATGTGTGTTGGCGTATGCAATTTAAGGTTATTTCAAACAAATTTACAATTAAACGTTTACAATATTCTATTAGTATTTTCATATTGTTTTATCAGAATTGTTCCGTTGTACTGACCGGGATACCAGCCTTTATGATGGGTCGCCTGTTTGACTACGTTGTTCTGTTGTCGTAACATGGTAACCAGCCTTTATGACGGATCGCCTGTTTGACTACGTTGTTCCGTTGTCGTAACATGGGTACTAGCCTTTATAATGGGTCGCCTGTTTGACTACGTTGTTCTGTTGTCGTAACATTTGTACTAGCCTTTATGATAGGTTGCCCGCCTGACCACGATTCAATATTAAAGTATCCATGAGTCTTGTCACAGCATAAGTCTACGACAACTTCATTCTCGCCAACAAAACCGATTAATAGTAGTATATTTGATTCGGTTCATCATATTTGTAAAATCAATCGATATATCGCCTTGCTCTGCTCATCAACAACTCTGCTAATGCCCCGTCCCCCCATCCTCTCTCAACACACACAAATACGTCCTAATCAGGTTATTTTAATCACAGAGCATTGTGTGGCCCCACCTTATCCCCCACAGCCATCTTGATTTCTGGCAGAAATTTACTGTTTAGGCAAGTGACAATCAATACTATTTTATCATTACAAATTTTTGCCACAAGCGGACCATTTTCGTTTGATGACCGGCCTGGTATGATTAATTGGTATTGCGAAATCGTGCTGTTCTGTTAGTAGTTTCCGGATAAACGTCGCTATCAAATATAACCTAACGCAGCAATTTTTAGAAATCCTTATTTGGGAAACATTTTCTGGAGAATTTCAGAATATTAAATCATGTTTAGAAAGGATCGTTAGTAAGTAGGCCATTAAGTGTAAAATTGTCTAAGATAACGATGTATTAATGTGTCGTCCATACCAAACTCGAGTTAATTGTGGTTCTGGTGTGTTAAGTATAGCTTGCAAAAAGACCTGACAATTATGTTACACACAGTCTCGAGGTAAATGTGTCGGAATAGGTGTAATAAGAAAAAAATCATTTTCACATATTCTTTTTAATACTCCTCTGAATAACAAACATTCTTTGATTTTATACGGCAACTTAAAAAAATATATATTGCCATTGTTTTCGTTGAAAGGCTATAGTGTAATAATTTGATATTAGAATACCACGTGAAAATATCTAAGTTTTGTTTAACTCCACGAGCTTAAAACTGAATAGCAACCAAATAAATAAATAAATAAATATATGACATTGCCTATAAGTCTAAATGGTATATAAGACCGTTCTAAATGTGGTTAGACAAGCAAGATGTTCATCTAGAATAATGGGGGAAAAAGAAGAAGAACAATGGTAATGGTAAGAATCTCTGCATCAATGATGTAGAAAAAAATTCGACCACAAGAAAACGTTTTACAAACGTCATATTTCTATCAAACTGCACTTGTGACAGTCCCTAAATGGAACATTATATACGGTATTTTTTTCTTTTAGAAAACTACGCAATGTTGTGACATTTTATATTCTCACTCGACATTTTTTTAAACTGAAGTCTGAATTCTGCAACTAGGTGAAGTCCACAACGGTTTTCTTCATTAGTGTGTTGTATTTACTTCCGGCAACTCTTTCACCGACGAGACAGTAAGGACAATGAACCATTTTTCTGTTCGTGCAATTCTTAAATAATTACAATGATGGACTTTAGCAGGCATGAACGCGCTGTCCGACGTTCAAGTAGGACGGTTATACTGTTTCTTAATGATTTCCGGTAGTAAAAAGGCTGGATGTGAGAAGTAGGATTACTTAGAAATACAATTCAAAACCGCCAACTAGGCACTAGGCCGAGGTGATATCGTTACATCAAGGCTCAAACTTTATGAGCTAAAACATCAACACTGCCATACATACCTGTAAATAGATTATCGTCTCACTGCACACGACACAAATGTTTCAATATGTTCGTTAATAAAGTATGCACCGTTCACTTTCAATTCTTATAAAATGTGTTTCTTCTTTTGATGCCTAAGCAAATGAAATTTCCACGTTTTCAGAGCAATATAAATAATTCAGGAAATCTTTCTCCTCCAAAATATCCACGGCGTTCAGAACTTGCATCATGAAAGTGCCAAAGAAATAATACTTGTAGCTGCTTTGTACCACAGCAACATTAATTAGTGTGAATGTGATGTGTAACTAACACCTAATTAACAATGACACCAACCAGGCTTCATCAAAAGGAACCAACATGATACACGTGCACGTGCCTTCAGTATACCACTGTGAACGATATCTTTGCTGTGTATTTCCTAATCACCCATGTTAATTGGTGGTTTAACCTTAAACTTCATCTAATTACGACAGAATTTATCCTTTTCATTTTCAGAATGTTCAGTATCGCCAATATACTAAACAAAAAAAGAAAGGTAACACTACTTTATTCTGTGATTGATTAATTAACCCCTTCATAAATCCTTACCAATCATGTACGAATAAAGTAATTGATCAATTCTGATAAAACTGCAGTCAAGGTTCATTATAAAACTTTGCGTTCAGTTGATTTTATTCGACTGTAAAGGACGTTGGGGTCAATTTCAAAGGTAACACCATTAGTAACGGGTTTGGCCACCGTTTGCGAAGTAAACAGCATTACAGCGTCGTCTCATGGAACTCGTAAACCGGCGGATAATTCGAGGAGAGATGTTGTTCCATTCAGCGATCAAGGCTTGGGCCAGCTCCTGCAAGTTTGTCGGCTGATTTTGACATTCTCTCACGCGTCGCCCAAGAACGTCCCAGACATGCTCAATCGGTGACAAATCAGGTGATTTAGATGGCCAATCTAAAACTTGTACGTTATTCTGCTGCAAGAAAGTTCTGCTGACGCGACTGGTGTGTGCTGGTGCGTTATCCTGTTGAAAAATGGCGCTAACGCCATGGCGTCTTAAGAATGGCAGAACCACTGGTCTTAAAATTTCGTCCCGATATCGAATGCCGGTTAAATTGCCATTTAACACAACAAGCCTGGTACGAGTTCCCCCACAAATACCACCCAAACCATTACACTTCCGCCGCCAAAGCGGTCCCGTTCTGCGACGCAGCAGTTCGCAAAACGCTCTTCTCGTCGCCTCCACACTCTGCGCCTTCCGTCACCGTGTTGCAGACAAAACCTGGACTCATCTGAACATTGTTCCATTGTCGTAAGGCCCAACGACGGTGAACACGGGTCCAGTTACGCCGATTATTACGGTGACGTCGCAACAAATTGGGTTCAGTTAGGGTCGCCGCGCTTTCAACTGGTAGGCCCTCAACCTGTTGCGGACTGTTTGGGGAGACACACGACGCCCAAACAGTGTCCTTGTAGTCTCTACTGCGGTTACGAATCGATTGCGCAAGTGTATCAATCGTATACGACGGTCATCCCTGGCGGTCGTTTTACTGGGTCGGCCGCTTCGGGGACGATCGGATGTTGACCCAGTCTGGTTTAAACGATTTACCAACTGGCAAATTGTCTTGACACTGCAACCTTTCTCTCTGTACTTTTGACAGCCGGGGCATAATGAAAAAGTTGATAGACAGCAAGATTCGGTGATTTCTAAGTCCTAAGGATCGAAGGAACAGCTGTCAGTTTGAATGTTTATGAAATTCAAGCGAAGATACAAGTTAGTCGCAGAAATACAGACTTTCACGCTTGAATAATTTTGGTAACCCCCTTGGATTTTGTAATGTAAAACATTACCATTTTCTAATATTGCACAAACGTCATTTTGTTTTCACTCATTTACAGGTATTCGCCAAGGAATCATGTTAACCTTTCTTTTTTTGTTGAGTATATACCAGGAAAATCTGTAAATCTAAATTCGGCGAAGAATCTTGTCTGCATTCTGTGGGTTTACGAGAACGAAAACACACATTTTGACACATTTGAATGTGATAAGATATGCCATATATCTTTGATTCAAAAGAAAAAACAAAAAAAAAAAAAACCCACGAATATCATTTTTCGATGACTTGTTTCTTTACTGCGATGCTCATAGAATTATTTTTGTTGCATTAAGTTTGAAGTTCGGGCTATTTGTTTGAGGAAATTGATGAGACTCAAAGAAAAAAAAGAATATATATATATGTAGGTTTATAACGTTGCTTCGCGATGAGTTTAGACCGGTTTTATCATATTCAATATTTGTACATGTTCATGGGACCCGTAATATCGAACATTTGTGTGAGGCGTTCGTCAAACATTATCAGTTTCCCTTTAATGTCGGTGTTCAGGTCATTTTATGTTAACGGGTTGTTCCAAAACAATCATAATGGTGAAAAAAGCCCAGCGTATTATTATAGAAGTAATATAAACATGTGTTTTTTTCAGGGATGATAAAAAAACTGTAACTTTATGGGGAACTCTCTTCATAATAAAGTTAGCTTTTTGCCATGGCCTACTATTAGAGTCTTTTAAAAAAACTATAATGTTCTCAAGGAATTGTTAAGCCCTGTTTGTATGTCTTATGGTATTCCTCCCATTTGAAGATTGTTTGCATAAGCGATTTTCGTGGGGTACACGAGAGCAGTCACTCACGAAGAGGAGCATATTGACCCGACACCAGGTAGAAAACGGCATGCCAATGTAGATTGAGAATTACATTCTTTAAGAGGCAATCATCACTGGGTCTTTATTGGCAAAACAACAGAATAATGGCTTCTATCCTTTATAATAATACATTAATACATTTGTATATGTTTGAGTCACTATGACCTTTTACAGGGCTTTTTGTTTGTGTAGTTCTCATATGTACGTCTCCAGCAGGAAATAGGAATATTTCTATAAAGTTATGCATTTACATTGAAATTAAGTCGTACCGAAATACATAGATTACATAGCATTAAAAGATAAAACGTAATTTACATGGAAAGGTGTGCAGCTATCAAGAAATGGAAATTCACGTCTCCGAGATCGGTATAATTACCCTCTGATAAACACCTGTTTTGGAAAACTGTCCAGTTGCCTCCATGACATCGAGCGTAACAGTTTACCTATACTATTTATCTTGTACCTAATCATTTAATTTTTGAGGATATATATATTTATATATATTCGGATGGACAAAATCTCTAGGCTTTTATTTAAAGACGATCAATAAATCTTAAAGGAAGATTTGGGTCGTTATAAGCTTTCAGTATGTTCAGCCTTAGGAAAACATGCCATAGAAAAGAAATAATTTGTTATCATGGGTATACCTTACATTGTAACAAGTTAAAATGTGTTGTCGCCAGACTCAACTGATTGGTAACCAGAAAATCCATTCATGTGATTCCCTTATTTTCTCTGGTGTGGTTAAAGACCCTAAACCCACCTTCTCATTAAGTCTCTTTCACTGTGCTAAGAATACAATGCAAGTCTTGGTTGCGAAGTATGTAACTAAGCGAACCAGCCATAAACATTGCTGAAAAGATTTTATAATCTTCAAGATCCAAAGCAAATAAGATGAGACTTTTTCTTCTTCTGTGACTGCTTCCAGAAAATAAGTTAAAACTGCGTCATAGAAAAAGTAGAGAAAATTCACGGAGAAGATCTCTAGCCCCCTTCTCTACAAGTAAATGGAGTTTACGTGGATTACGGTAACAGAGAGTCCCACTCACTAACGTCACTAAAGCGAATCACATCCAAAGGCTTTCAAGGCTGTACACTACAGCAAAAATTTAATTTACAATGAGTGTTCCCCATGTCCGTTACAACACAATGTGTCCTCCACACAGTGATCGCTTTGAAATATCCCTAAAATATCGCATAACTTATAATTTTCACGGGTAAACATTTTCGTGATTTGCTTTTAATACCATCAAACGATGGATCAGGATCTAACTTACATCTTATTATCTCATTATTTCACCGCCTAAATTTTCGCGACCAATTTAATGTAACGCGAAATAGCGAAAATACCATACCCGCGAAAATAACTTGCAATACGTTATATCGTTTTAACACTACAACAATATTCCTTAAGAATCTAATTGCAATTAAGATTGTTTTGGAGTATCATGTGAACATAAAATTAACCGAACATTGACATGAAAGGGAAATTTATAAAGTTTGATAAAGATGTGTTCTCCTTATCTTGTCTGTCTTATAAAACGTTGTCGAATTTATCAAAATCTTGTAATCGCCCTACTTAGATACTCGACATCATGTGTTCAGTGCACATGAGGGATTATGGAAAATTATAACAAAAACTATTTGAAAAGCATGAAACTTACAGCAAAGCAACGCTATTTATGTCCATTTTCGTGATCTTACGTTCGTTGTATCATCGGTGAATGGTCTCCATGCTATAGAGACAACCACCGAGACGAAGTTGTCCTTGCCCGTCTTCGGATGGGCCATACATACTTACACATTCATATATGTTGAAGAGCGAAGATAATCCTCGGTGCATAGGTTAAACATTATTTACTGGACTGCATTGACCTTCTGTCTACTCGAGATTTTTTATCGTAACGTTACAAGCCTATAAATATCCTTGAGATTTATAAAATTCTAGGTTATCTGTAAGATGTTGGTCTATATTATAGAATATGACTTACCTTTTTAATCTCTTTGTGGTGATATAACCTTTTTAATCTCTTTGTGGTGATATAACCATTTTAATCTCTTTGTGGTGATATAACCATTTTAATCTCTTTGTGATGATATAACCATTTTAATCTCTTTGTGGTGATATAACCATTTTAATCTCTTTGTGGTGATATAACCATTTTAATCTCTTTGTGATGATATAACCATTTTAATCTCTTTGTGGTGATATAACCATTTTAATCTCTTTGTGGTGATATAACCATTTTAATCTCTTTGTGGTGATATAACCATTTTAATCTCTTTGTGATGATATAACCATTTTAATCTCTTTGTGGTGATATAACCTTTTTAATCTCTTTGTGGTGATATAACCATTTTAATCTCTTTGTGGTGATATAACCATTTTAATCTCTTTGTGATGATATAACCATTTCAGATTTCTAGTATTGGTCTTTGACCTTTTGTTTGATAATTCTTGTTGGTCGTCGTGTCTTTCACCTGTTGATGACCCAA